TATCAATAGCTTCAAAAGACAAAATTCCTTCATAAAACCCAAATATAGTTGAAAAAGATATTTGTCAAGAAATTGCTGATTCTCTGAAAGGAATATCATTTGGCGTTTGTAGTCGAAATCAGAGAATTGTAAATGATAATAACAATTTCAGAAATTATTTTATGAGGAATTTTATGAATTCTCAAGTTCAGACTATGAAAGTTTGTAGTACCTTAATGAAGATAATCTGAAGAAAATGCTATTTCCAATGAACATTGATCCAGTAGAGTTGTGTAGTTCATATCGAAGTGATGTTTTTGTTTACGCTAAACTATGTAAAAAATTTGGTATGAAAAATTCGATCAAAAATAGAAAACGAATTAATTACATGTGGAGAATATTAAAAAAAGAATTTTGGATGAAAATTGCGGTAATTATAGTAGAATGGACGATAATCAATTTAATGATGTTTCGATTGAATACTGTTCTACTCCAAAGAAAGAACTGAAATATTCAGTAGATGGTACCGTCGAAGAGAAAAATAAGGTACCGACTACAAAATGCGACATTGTTGAACAGAGTCAGCGTTTAGAAACGGAAAACTCGGGAAGTTAAGAGAATTGTACCGAGGTAATGCCCGGAGCAGAAACTATTATAGATGGAAATCATAAAAACATTTCCCCACAAAAATTTTGAAATTCCAGAAGAACTATTGAAGTTATCCAGTCCCAGGAACTGCTCTGAAATTGTACCCATAAGTTCAATTAATATTATCGGGAAATCGGTTAAAACGGCTTATAAAAACTGCAATTTTCTAGAAGGAGTATTTGTAGTTGAGGAAAAAATCTGGAGAAAGATATTTATCGATGAAAGATTAGATGTAAAATATTATCCATATGTATTTCGAAATCGAATTGCATTATAGCGTTTAAATAGATTGAATATCTCAAGAAAAGTAATATCATCAACGTATATGGTATTTGTAAACATAATAATTATGGATGTAAAAAATTCAGATTGAATATTGTTGATAGAACTGTTCAAGTATTTAGTACATCTTCAAATTACAACCATCCATTTCATTTAACCAATCCCGTGAAAGGGGTGGAAAGACGATTGATAAAAAAATAATGGTATAATTATAATGATGAATGAAAAATCGGATTGAAGAAAAAACATGACGTCAATGTGTACAGGGTGTCTCAAAATGCGTCATTGAAAACATGGCAGTTTAACGAGGCNTGAAGTATTTTTTGCTATTATAAAGAATCGAATTTTTAATTTGCGCTGTTGACGGGATAGGGAGAGGAATATTGAATGTGAGACGAGTGGCATAATTCTGAGTTGAGTTCGAGATGTTATCTTTGTGCTTTTTGTGCATTAGGCAGACTGTTTCTAAAATAAAGAGGCAGTAGACTGTTAAGATGTGATGTGCTAAAAAAGAGGCTTACAGGAATCTTGCACTCTAGCTCCGGTAATGAATCTCACTTTTTTTTTGTATTGTGAAAACTTGACTCAATAAGTTTTGACAGCTGCTCCCCCAGAAACAAATTCCGTACCGCAAGTGGGATTTGAAAAGTGCAAAGTATGCTTTTCTATCAGAATGATAGTCCAAAGAGTTAGAGATAGACCTTATCGCATAACAACTTGAGGATAATTAAATTGGCATTGGGATATTCGTCTTTGATATATTAAAAGATAATAAATTGGCATCTCAACATTGTTTAACTTTGCTTATATCATGCTCCACCCCAATTTTTAGTGCATCAGTGCTTCTTCCATGCCAAAGTATAGACGTGTCATGAGCAAAAATTGTGAATTTGCCTTCAATCGATATATATGCCAGATCATTTATATGAAATAAAAACAGCAAAGGCCTGAGGACAGATCCCTGACGTACTCCGCATTTAATGCTCATTTCATCTGATGATGAACTTTTGAAATTCACTACTTGAACACGATGTGATAGATATGACTCAAATCACAACAAGATGTTTCCTCTTTTGAAGCAATATTTTGTGATCAACACAGTCGAATGCTTTTGTTAGATCACAAAATACTGCCACTGCAGCCTCACCAACATTCAGTCTAAGGTGAAGTTCTTCTAAAAAAGCAAACATTGCATCATTTGTGCTCTTAGAGGCTTGAAAGCCATATTGATTGGAGTGAAGAATATGATTTTTGTCAAGAAAATTTAGGATTCTCTTTTTCATTAACTTTTCCACGATTTTAGATAGAGTTAGCAGTAAAGAAATAGGCCTGAAGTTCGCAGATATAGACTGGAGTTCGCAGGTCTCTAGACTTGAGTGTTATGGATACATTCTTATGGGGTACACTGAAGAATAGAGTTTATGGTCAGATGAAATATTAAAATATTGAGGAACTTGAACACAGCATTGTTAGAGAGTTCGGAAGATTGGGGAGGAAGAAAATTATTCGTACAGTAAATAATATTCGAGGAAGGGCACAGTCATCGATAACTCAGTGATCGGGGAACCATCAGGATGAATAAACCTCTGAAGAAGCCAGCCACTCGTGCTGGTGAAACGTTAGGATACAGTTCCAAACCACAACGGCCTTCAAACCCGAACGAAGATCGTAACGGCATATTGTTAGTCAGGTAATTACGCAACTTTGCATCCCAATTTGACCATCTTCGTATCTCTTATAGTTTTCGAGATTCAAATGGTGAGGATCTAATTTGAAACACTTTGTATACAAATCAATTTGAATAATAGATCTCTCAACTGAATTTTTTTATGCAAACAGATATAATAGTACGGGAGACTCATTCGAAAATAAAAATTTGAAAATAAGACTAGAAAACCAATGAAACAAAAATAAGAAAATAAGTAAGATTGTTTATCTTTAATAGTTCTGAATAAAAGTCCACGATAACATATATCTACCGCTTATGTGATAGCCACTATATGCAAAATGTTGAGTCATAAATACAGTTAAATTGGATACTTTTGAAAAAATGCACATTTTAGAATATCTGAAATTTTTTTATTGAAATTGACACAATTGTCATTTCGAGTATTTAATATAGAAAAGTTTTGTCTTTTACACTAGCAATTTGGACGAACCGTTTACAAGTTATCACGATAAGATTAACCTTCATAATCCTGTGGTCAAAAACTTACATTAAATACGGAGTGGGGTCCAAATGCACCCCAACATTTTTTTGCTTTGATTGCATGCCTGTCTTAAACTCGTCGTTTGCGCAGACCTAAGACATCGACGCGTGGGTCTGCGCGTAGGAAAATTCAAACCACAAATCAGCCTTTATGAAATTACTGTATACAAAATACTGTGGCTCATCCACGCACAAATGTTCAGATGGATTAAAAGATTTCTTGCAATTTGCACAAAACCATCAAAAACATGTCTGATTGGGGCCAATTTATCAGTGCGTTTTCTTTCTTCTTTTGTTTCAAAATTGTCGAATCTTAGAAAACACATAATCTTTTGGAATCTGTTGCGAGACAAGGCAGATGGTACTAGAGGCCGACATAAAGTTGGATCTTGGCTCCAAAGTACACAAATTGGCTCTTTAGCAGCGTGCCAGGCTCCAAAAATAATAAGCAAACCAATAAATGCTTCCAGTTCCTCTTCCACAAAAGGAGAAAAAGCCTTCTCATTTCTCGCATAATATGATTCGGCTTTTCTATTTGTCTCCGATAAAATCACATCTATAATATCTTGTGAAAGAAATAGTTCAAAAGCTTCTTTTATGGTGGAAAATTGGGAACTATATCTAGTGAAACCTGGTGAAACCTTTTGAATATTACATTTTCGTCTCTTGATATTCGTAGTAAAAGGAACCTTTGCCCACACACTACCATCTTTAGACGAATAAGTTGGATGATCTGTATAAAAGTTTATTGACGGGCCTACTTCATCTGCAGAATCTGTCGACTCATTTTCCCTATCACTAACTTGTAAAACGTCATCTCATCAGTTTCAGTCACTATGTCAGTCTCCTCAATATCACTTAAACCATCCTCTAGTTGTAGATCATTAAAATAATGGTCGTAAGTGTCCGTTTCTAATATCGCCAATAGTTCTTCGTCAGTTATCTTATTTTCATTTCTAAACTTTCGTGGTTCACTCATTTTTATAAACGCGTACTCGACAATCAAGTGTAAACGTGACTAAACACCCTTAAATTATATTGAGAAAATAGGTGTACAAATAAATTGGGAATCCCCGAGACAAGAAACGGGGAATCCCCGTCGTTTGAACAATTTGGGATCAATTTGTACCCCGGTTGGTTTCAAACGTAGGCAAAATTTATACCTGTCGTTACATACCGAGCGGGATGCATCTGGACCCCAAAAACAATCGTTATCAAGAATTGATCGATTCTAGTATTGTTACTTGTCATTGTATCACAAATTACTGAAGAAGGAGATATTTTGAAATATTTAGTTTTCAATTAGAAAGAGATGGACTGTATTGAAATATTGGTATAATATCAATGACTGAATTAGCAGTGAATATCAGTAATGTGTTTTATAATGCTGACACAGTTTCCTGGGTAGAAGCTGACACAATATTCGTTCCTTACAACAAACGATAAAAAACATGATAGTGTTTTTAGGTGTTTCATTTCATATCTGTGATCAATTTGTAGTGAGATATATGGAACATAACACAACGGAATACTCAACCAAGAATCCAATATATTGCTTTGCTGACGACAGCACACTTGTCTCGTGATTTTCTTTTGATTCCAGGACATTGTCTACGGAGGCACATCTTCACCGGCAGCAGAAGGTTGCATATCTTAATGAGGATCTAGAAGTGACTTTGAATTGGGGTGGAAGTAACCAGGTTCAATTCAATGCCACAAAAACCCAGGCATCGGTTTCCTCCAAGAAGATAAATGTCATCAATGATATTTTTGGTTATCAATAAACTTACTACATAACAAAATGTATTTGTTTGAAAACTGAAAGATAATTCTTCCAGTTGTTCTCACTTGCAACACCAGTGTATTATGATGTTCACATATCCCAACTTCCACTTATCAGTCATTTATTTTCTGTGCAGTAAAAATGATTAATATCGAATTTTCTTCCACTATCTGAGATTGTATTTGAATTCTCTGGTTGGGTAAAGTGAAAGCAATTGAGAAACAAACGTGAAGATAATGAAATCACGATAAACAAAATGTATACGAAAAGGTCGTGATCTTTCATTATCATATTTCGACATTGCGTTCGTTCGATTTCTTCAATGCTACTGCCGTTTTCAATGAATGTTTTCGTTTCATCGATGTTTTTGCCATTCAGAGTGCGTCAATAAAATTTTGTATTTTTGGAAACCTAAGAACGCTGTCATGCTCAGGATTATAAAATATTAGTTACAGACTATTTTAAAGTATATGTTAGTTTCTTGTTGAAAATAACCACCTGATTTCAGTGTCCGTATTCGAAGTGACATGTGGTGAACTTGTTGAACTGGATTTGGTTGTTTCAGTGTTTTTATGTATATCATTTGAAAATCAGAAAAGTTATGTTTGTTATAAGTTCCAAACAGGTATGTACTTGATAAGGAAATGAATTATTGTAGATTTCAAAGAGTTGCTAATAGATACAATATATTGAAATCACATCACCACCTCAAAGGTTGATACTTCTATAATGAAACAAATGAATGCTTTCCTTTTCCACCTTTCAGTAGATATCAGATGTCGGATAATTATTGAAAAAAATTAATACATTTTTATCTTAATGGTGCCACCCTATTGTAGAGTATCTATCAATTGCACTAAACATTATTGTTTCCAATGAAGTAGTCCATTAATAAGTCATTTCATAAGATATCATAATAATTTTTGTACATTCTTCAAATGTAGTTCTTCCATGTATACTTCAAGTGATGAAATTGGTTTCATGTGAAGAGTATCTGCGATATATTATGTTTCACTTAAGATTTGAAGCACCATTTCAGAATTTATAAGTCGTTTCGAAAGGAATTGAAATAATTTGTCTCTTCTGCATTCCTTAATTGATATCTCCAAAATGGACTCCACATCTTCATACATTCATTCATTTTTTGTTATTATCATCATAGAAATTGAACTACATGAAGCAACTACAAAGCAAATAATGTTGTACACATTGAAAATTTCACATTAATATTAGTTAAGATCATGTATATTTACTCTTCTGTCATATTTTACGATTGTATAAAAGTATTCCAAAACTTTTTCATTAGATAAAGTAGACTAAAAAGATCACATGAATGACTGTTCTATTCATATTTTCAGTAATTGAAAAAGAATGAATTTTATCATGGACCAAATAAGGTTCATTAAAAAGTATTATGGTTAGAAATTACAGTTTATAAATACCACTTTCTTAAGGACAATTACACCTTCAGTAATAATGTTATTACCTAAAAACAATGACATTAATAATAACGTATAAAAGTAAGAAACTGGCAGGGGTCGGGGATAATTTCAGTAATAATAATCGTGTAAAGTGAGGGTATAATTATTTTGTCATTACTCTGTTCAAAATTTCAAGAACAGCTGTAGTTAATGAGGCCGGTGACGTTGCAACTGAAAACTTCAAATCCTCAAAGCTAATTATTTTTTAGTTCAACTGGCCATATCAATTTATTTGACGAAATTGTTTTTATTTCATCAATGATATTTTTGGTTTTCAATAAACTAATAAACTTGCTTCATCAACGAAATGTATTTGTTTGAAGATTGAAAGATAATTCTTCCAGATGTTCTCACTTGCAACACTAGTGTGTTATGATGTTCCCACATCCCAACTTCCAGTTATCAGCTTCTTCCCGGGGCTAGGTATCTCAGAGTTGAAGCCATTCTTTCATTAACTGGTAAACCGTTCCGCATAACCGTACTTTTTCGTGTTAGAATTGGTTGAACCATTCGCAATAATTTATTAAGAGTGTCTTCGTCCATACGAAAATAATTTTTATAATCACTCACTTCATTCGTTTCACTTATAACACTAAATGTGAATAATCTTCGCGTATTTTACCATTTCTTCATCCAGTAACGACGGTTTATACTTAATGCAATAATTATAGCTAGACATGTTTTTTTCTTAAAATCCATAATCGATAAAAACATAGTCTATGTGATTTTTACGCCACTGGAAACATAATAATGATGAAAAAACAATATCAGTAATAATCAGCAAGTAAAGCGCGGAAAATAATGACAGGGAATAACGGGACAATTTTCAGTAATGATTTGCTGAAATGACATTATAACTGAACGAGTAATGGTCCCTTTAGATTTCCATTTCTCCGTCAGTAATTGAAAACAGATAAACTTCATTAATTGATCATTATAAATCATTCTTGGTGACTGAGGTGAAGTTTTATGACAGCAGGGAAATGATTATGTGTTGAGCACATATCAGACGTCCAAATAACGAAATGTTATTTTTTACTGTTGAACGTATATGTTGTATACATATAACATCTGAAAACACCAACTGTTTTTATAATGATAGATGATGTATCTATTTGTGGTAGCCTTTCGGAATTGCACAATGCTCGCCACGACGCTCATAACATTTTGTAAATGCAAAACAGCTGACTTGAGTATTTTTCCTAATTATGCAAAAATGCATTGATAAAACTTTTCATATTCATCAGGCAGCTCCGGAACCATTACCAGTTACAATGATAATGGAAATTCAATGATAATAAAATTACATAATAGGCACAGCACGTTTGTGACAAAATGGGTGGTATTCAATATGTGATAATACATTTTTTCTATCAAATCAACAGGTGCGTTTTCGGTCCGACTCTCGGCACTGTAGGACCATATTTATGCTTTTCTCTGGCTTTCGCAAGACACATCCACTCTGGACCTCTTCTTAAAAATTTAAAAATATAAAATATTAGTCCTCTCAATTACCATGAAAGGAGAAGAAAGAGGAGGAAATGAAGAAAAAATGAAAAAAGAAGTTGAGATACTGACATAGAAATATGTTGACGAAGGGCTGAAGAAAATAATTTTAATCAATCAACCAAGTGTGTTAGTCTGCAGTGTTCAATATAATGTAACTCACTCGTATGTCAGGATTCTCGCAGGCTCAGTCACTCAGATTGCTGAAAAGGTGCTTTTTGAATATATTTAGACATATAGTTTCTGAAACATTGCAATTGTTTTTCATGGAGATGATTCATTGTGGAGGAGATATCATGAGAAAAAGATCATTTAAATATTTCCTTTCAATGGGCAGAAATGGTTAACACATTAACCACATTTACGATCAAACATATTTAGTAGCGTCAAATCTGCTAATTTGTGTGAAATTTCAAATCTTCTAATTCCGAATATTAACCTGATGCAATAATTTTGAACTTTCTGTATGCGGCGCCAATCGTTGTTGTCTAAACACGGATGATAAACAACATCACAGTGGTTGAAATGCGATAAAACTAATGAACCATTTAACATTTTCTTGATATCAACATTCAAATATTGTCTATGGGGTTATTGTCTATGGGTTCCAGAGATGAATCAGCAATTTTCAATTTGTAGGTTATATGTCCAATAAAAATTTATGATCTAAAATCAACCCAAACTTTTTTGAATATGACCCAAATTGTATTTCATGGGTATAGAAAAGTGAACCTAAAATGCTGTCCTGTCGTACTTCTGTTTCAAATTTTTTCAAGGTACAAGAAATTACGTTATTTGAAGTTTTTGTAGTCTGTTATTCAGCTAGGTTAATATCAACATTAATTATGCATTACTAAACATAGCACAGAGTATTATAGTGTCAAATGCTTTTGAATAGTCCAAAAGAATTACTTGAAATCAACGAACTTGAAGCCAGATGAAAAGCCAGATCGATAACAAATCAATCAAAATTTATTTCATAGATCGAAACTGAAACATTCAAAATAAAACAATGTGTGTGTTTAGAATGTATGCTTCCGTTAACCAACTGTCGCCTCCTAACCAATGACAACTCTTAAAAGTCGAAATTTGTAGAAGCTAAAAGTGAAAAAGGTAAAAAGGTCTTTTCATTCAATGCCGCGTGTTATGCAGAACGGCTCAATCACGTTAATTAACCGGCTACTGTTATAAAGTACAATGATGTGTTATAAATGATGAATTCGAGTGCAAAAAATGTTTAATCTCTTCAAATCTCTGTTCCCTACTTTCTGAATCATTCTGGATTGATATTTTTTAATGGAAAAAACAAATTTTTGAATATTGAGGCATAAATATTTTGGTCTCATATTGTTTTCCAAGAACACAAATCCATATGTACAATAACAATTATGAATTGATGAATCATTCTAATATCTACGGAATAAGTATATGCATTCTAGTTCAGAAAAAATCATGATACGATGCCGATTTCGGAACCTTACCCCACCACTTTCAACCTTGAAACGACCTTGACCCTTAGGAGGTGTTTTGACTTGTACGACTTTGACCTATGTCATACGATGCAGATGCACTTCCATGAATATTAATTTATACCGGGTGACCCGAAACCAATTTACCCCCCTGTATCTTCGTTGTTATTTTATATGGATGTTTCAAATTTGGTACTTCGATTTTTGATGTAATGAATGTACAATTTAGCAAGTACCAAACCAAGTATGAAACTTCGGTTTGACCGGAAGCGCATCCAATTTTTATATTTCAAATAGAAAGTATGTATTCTTTTCGAAAATTACGATTCGATAGAGAATTACCTTTCCAATGATATGTCACAATCATACTTCCCATTCACAATCTGCCGATATAATTGAGATTTTATAAAAAATTACTTTTTGTATTCCCCTCGTAATGGAACATTTTCATGAAAGTATGCTATGGAAGATTGAACAATATCGTGTGAGTAACAATAATTCATGGTCAAACTTTTTACACAATATGTTTTATGCAGACTAACTGTTTTACAATAACTCATTTCTTTTAAATGGTAACTTAGGAATCTTTAAAGTTGGTTAGAAACTCCAATAGATATTGAAATACAATTCTCCAGGGTTAAACTAACATTATTAGTAACAAAATAATGATAAGAAGATCACAAACAATCGTTATCACTAATAGTGCAATTTGGAATTGAACACATAAATGACTGACAACCATAAGTAAATAAAATAATACAACTTGTCGAAACACCTTAGGCGACTTGTTAATAATACATTTCTTGAAATCGATTTGCAAAATGAAAATGTTCATTTCCTTGTAAACGTGAACTATCAGTATATATACTTATTCGATGGATAATTGAATTTGACATCTTCTGTAGACTTAAAATACAGAGTGTTCAAAAATTTTAATTATTTTAACTTAATTTTCACACCTTATATGAGTTGGTAGATTATTATTATGTGCAATATAAATGTTGTTCAGATATTAGCCTTCAGCACTAATTTGCAAAACGTCAGTTGGGAATTCAAGCCACTACATTTTAATAAAATAAAAGATATTGCAAAAGCCACGAGGCTCAGGAGATTCAATACAAAGGAAGTTGTTAACAATTATATCTGACACAAATTAAAAAGAGGTGAAA